AGTTATTTATTTATTTCTTTAATTTTCCTTTTAGTTTTATAAACTAAAATGATGTTGAGACTACAGCTGACCGAAGCGTGATTTTACGTTTTACTTTGATCTGGAACTAAATACTTGTACAAAAGAGTTGCATGACTTATACAAAGCAGAAGAAAAGAAAGCAAGCAATCAATTTTTCATTCTTTGTCTACTTCATGGCAGACTGACTGTTCACTTTGGTGGACCTTCAAGTGAATAAAGAGAAGAATTCCACGCGAATCACCTCTTCGATTACTAAATGGGAGCTGGACAAGTAGTTAGAAATCAAGCTCGAGATCTTGCAAGGAAAATAAGTTCTCTTGTACATTGCCTTCTAGCAAGGTATTCTCGAAAAATATCGTATAGAATAATTAACGATTTAATTTAATGGTTGATTTGCTTATTATGCAATGTTTCGAAATCCAAAGCCTGGTGAGGGAATATCATTAGTATATGTATTAAAAAAAATCGAAAATGTTCGCGTTATGAAAGAAAAAAATCGGCATTCTTTTTTAGTTAAATGGTCCATTTTGAAACCTTAAGTTGAACAAAAATCGATTTCGTACTAGACTAAGAAGAAGATCGACTTGTTCGTCAGGTTATTCTTAATTTAGATAGAGATTGACTTCAATTTCGATGACATATGTTACCACTTTTGCAAATCAAAAATCAAAAGAAGGATCGCACCAGCAGTACAAGTACGGTGCCATATATTTATGGCAGCCTAATGCGGTACAAAAAATAATTTTGCCAATTTTCCCGCAAAAGATAAGCGACTTTAAATCCCTTTCCAATGATTCAAGATTTATTTGCTTCGAAACAGCATCTTTATTTGTCATATATTTTTCGAAGGCAGGGATACATGATGCAAATATCCAACTACTTTGGATGCACGTGTTTTATTTAACGCATTATTTATTTTCCACTTGGATTTAAGCCAATATATAACATCCAGAAGGAGGTGAATTGCAAAGCGTGCGTTTGAAAGGTTCCACTTCCCTTCCATATTTGAGAACTTCTTTACTTTTTTAAAACATTATCCTAATAGCCTTCTTTTTTTGGGAGTTTCTCATCTCATCGTAAAATCAGCAATAATTTTTTGGTTCAGTGTTGCCTAATGAATATCTTTTCTCTTCAAAAAGTTTAAAATTGCTTCCATACCACTGCACATTGCATCGGTAATGGTACCTGAAATTCTCGATAAAAGTAAAATCAGCTGTTCTACTGCTGCCAGTTCCATATGCTTTGCTTCAAAGAATACTCAACGTGAAATGCGTTGAAAGACACGTTTAAAAAGCTAAATTTCCTTTAGAAATTTTAACAATAATCATTGACGTCTAATTTCGATTCATACTCAAAAATATTCAGTTTTTTTAAGCAAAATTACAACATCAGAATGCATCTACCCGTACATACATAGTATGTGTGTGCTCCTCGCTTTGAATCACAAGTGTCCACGAAATTTTTCCCACATATGGAAGCTTTCAGAAATACTTATTTATGATACCAAAGTCAGGCAAAAATTCGACACTAATTCTTACAGGCCGATCACCTTCAGCCTTATGTACTTTCTACAAAAATTTTGAACTACTTTTTTTGAAAAAAATTACAATCTTCAATATTATTCTCTCTTCATTCGATTGTAAGAAAGGTCACCTTTACGAGAGCAGTTTGCTTGCTGTTTCATAATTTTTAACTAAAGCAAGCATACTTGTTAATATTTTTCACCGCTGCTTTTTTCTATTAGCCTGCCAAAGATATATCTAAATTTTTCATTTCATTCATTATTGCATTTTTTTACGCTGCGCTGCTTGCTATTCTCTCATTTGTATGTCAACCTTTTGACCCATTAAAATAAACTAATATGGATTTGATTGCAATTTTCTGCGAAGTATGCCGCGTATGAGGTGCGTTCATAGAAAAGCGAGGAACATTTAATTAGGAAAACGCTTGTATGTAGCTGTAAAAATTTATCACTGTGTCGTACATAAAAATAGTTTAGTGCATATGAACTTTAATGTTCGAAGAGTTTTATGTGAGCTTCGGGCGTGAGATAAGTGAAAAGTGGAATCCCAAATATATGATAATACAATGTAAGGCATCGTAAAAAATTTGCAATGATATCACTAGTTTATATGTTCATGAAAGTGTTCACATATCATCATTTCAAAAACATTAAAATAAGTGCTTGACATTCGTAGTATACCCGGTTAGTTTGTAAGTTTTAGAGGAAATAACAGTTTATAATTCAATTAAAACCTTTTCGCGTGGTACTTATTATTAACAAAGACGATTACATAGTTTTTAAAAAGTTTACTCTTTTAAACTCTTCAGAAAGTGAACATTTTTTCGTCTTCAAAATCAAGTTAGTGGATTTCGTGTCCTCCTCCTTTTGTAGGTCGGTTAAAAAAAAAGTGATTTATCTTCCCATTCTTGGCGTAGTTCTCCTTATTTTCGATTTCGCTGTAACCGCCTGAGCTATTTCGACTGAGCCCATACTTATAGTCTTTCTATTCTACTTTAAGTTTAAGTTTTCTTGTCTTTGATATGCTAAGAGCTTCTGAAATGAATGCGGTTGAAATAAATAACAGCTCATTGCCATTTTCTAGTGAAACCAAGTCTTAAACTATTTAAAAAGAAAAACATGTAAGCAAAGGAAGACCCAGAGAAGAAACTAGATAAGTATAAGAAAAAAAATATCAAATTGATATAATATGTATTTCTTTCCAAAAATAATTTTTAGTTTAGATCATAAAGCGCGAAGCTAGAAATAATTCCAAATAAAGATAAAAAAAATAAAATAAAATACGAAAAGGAAAGAATTTAAATCGACTACGCGAACTTCGACTGTAACGAAAAAGTCGAAAATTTATTTGCGCTTGCAGGAGAATGTGGTAAATGAATGCAACGAACACGAGGTAAACAAGAGAAAACGCAAAAAAGTAAAGTAGTTTGCAATGAGATAACAAAAATATCTTTTTAGGGAGAGTGAATGCAACTAACTGGAGTGTAAGGAAAAGTACTTATTGATAAAAATTCATTTAGAAGAAATGTTAGCAAAAACTAAAAAAGTTTTTTGTAAAAGAAATTATGTTGAGTGCTTGAAAAAACTTGCAAATGGCCAGTGGTCTTGAGAAAATGGGGATGAGTGCGGTGTAATTGTAACTACTTAGTTCAGGTGAAAGTTGAATGCTTTATAGCATAAACAGACGGAAACGTTAATGCGGATTAACTGAGCTGTTGATGTGAATCAAAATTGTAAAATGACATATGGCAATTTTGCGTATTAAGCGAGCCGCGAAGTCGTGGGTTCGGTTAGCAAACATACATTTCAATTTCGAAATTTGTAATAGTTGACTTTTTCGATAAGTTAGAATAAAATTTTTTATAATACACAGTGACTGAAACAAATGATCACGTGATTTTTTTTTAATATTAAAATATCATCTAAGCTTTAACGAAAACCGTGTAAATTGCAGTATCAAACTTTATACAAAATTTAGGAAAATTCACCAAATTTTCATCAAAATTTAAACTCTGAATTTCTAGGACATTTTTGGGTATGCAGTTTCTTAGTCCATTCAGTTTTAGTGTAATGAAGTGCAAGTTTCAAAAGGCTAAAAAAGCGCGTTATTTTTTGAGATTTTTTTTTTGTAAGCTACTTTTTCGGGTTTTTAAACTATTTAGCCCTTTGAAACTTGCAATTCGTTATACTTAATTTTATGGGCTATAAAACTGCTTACCCAAAAATTTTTTAGAAATTCAGAATAAAAAGTTGAAATTTTGATGAAAATTTGTTGAATTTCCCTAAATTCTGTATAAATTTTGAAACTGTGATTTACACGGTTTTGGTTAAGGCTTAGCCAAAATTTTTATATAAAAATAACANAAAAAAAAATCGCAGAAATTCGACAAAATATTAACTTAAAATTAATAAGTTTCGACAGTATGTCTTATTTATCAGATTTAGGTAAATTCTGATGGTTTTAGCGACCTTTCTACTTATAATTTAGTGCTTTGCCGGCTCGAGGTCAATTTTAAAAATTCTTTATGAAACACAGAAGTTTTTTGGTGTTTTCAAAAAAAAATTTTTAAAATTGACGTCGAGCCGGCAAAATACTAAATTTAGGTAAATTTTTTGTCGAATCTTTGCGATGAAAAAAATTAAATTTTTTAGAATCCCAAAAATTTTAAAAAATTTTTTATGTGTTCGTGTAGGTATTTATTTTTTGTACGTAGGGAAAAACTTAAGGGGTGGCCAGTGTATATCTATATATAGATACTTTTTAGGACCACCCTAATGTATTAATATACTTATGTGTGTACAACCAATGTAAATCTAAAAAAATAAAAATAATTAATTTTTGCAAATAGCTCACATTGGGGTTAATGTGGATCAACTGTCGTCGGAGATAATTCCGTATTGGCGAGTTCATCCGAACGAACGCTGCCGTCTGTCGCTACTTTTAGAGTGTTCGTAGCACAAATAAATAGTAAAATGGAGCTTTGGTTGGTGTATTTCGAGTGTTGCGTTGTGTGCTCTTTTTTTCAATTATTTGTGTCAGTTGTGGTGATTAGGGTATGCACATTATATTTGTAATATTGTACACTTTGTGGTGGATTTCTTAATTAACATAGGGCTTATGAGTCTAAAAAAGCTATCAAACCGAGAAGAAATTTGTCACTTTCAATAGATTTGAAAATTTTAGCACCAATGTTACTAGTAAGAAAAAAATTATTTGTTCTCGCATTTAATTTACCAAAATTAACGTACAACTGTGTGACTGAATTCAAATGACAGAGGCAGAGACTCAGCCAACAAAAATCTATTGAAAAGGACAAACTCTTCTACAACTGATAAACATCATTTTAACAACGCGAAAAACCAAAAATAAAGTAGCAAAAAAAAAACATATACACAAAAACGCAAAAACATATACATTCAAAAATATTTGAATCCTCCTTCTCTTCGATTCACTTACCGTTGGCGTATTTAGTAGTGGCGGCAGGTTATTGAGCAGATTAGATGATTGTATATCGACGCGTACTGGCGGTGCGACAGTAGTCGGTGGGGCGGGTGTGGCAATGGGTACCAATGTACCAAGCTGCAAAAGAGAGAAAAAAACATTTACTTATGTAAAATTTGTATTTTGTTGGAAAATACGTATCGTAAACAGGAATTTATATTTGTCGCATGTAAATAAATTCGTTAAATCGCTCAGATAAATGTACACACATATTTATGTATGTACGGTTGTGCGCATTTGCGCGACACAAACCGCATGACTAATGCTAAATTATGTTTATACGCTTACTTGATTGTAGTACTTATGATTGTGCATTTGGGATGAGCGCGTGCTCACATTTCATAAAAATTATGCAACAATAAATTTGTTATCAAATTGTGCATACATTTTCATAATTCAACGCTTAGCACACAAACAAAAATACTGGCACAAGATAGAATCACTACTGTGAGTTTAAAGGAGATAAAGATTTTGTAAATAAATTTGGTTTTTGAAACCCAATTTATATACATACGTAAGAATGCTACATTGTATAGTTGCAAGCTGTAGAGTTAAAACTTAAAATAAAATACACGCTGTAAGGTGTAGATTTATGTATGAGGTTTTCAAAATGTGTGTGTCTGCACTTATACTGACAGCAATAGGGTATCGCACACTTTCTATCTTCAAAGTGACACAACTCAAAATTACACGTTCGTCAGAAAATGCGAAAAACTATTTCTTAGCGTATGCTAATCATATGGGAATTGTTTGATGTCGGCATCTTTAATTTAACAAAATCTTAAGTTAGAATCAACAATTTTTAGTTTGTTTATTTATTTAAGTGGAAAGACGATTTTAGTCCATCAAAAATTCTTTGTTTATAAGGATTAAGACGAGAGTCAGTAGAAATAATGACCAGGTTTACATATTGTTCCATCGACCATACCATATAAATAATGTAGTATAAAAGGAACTAAGGAACTTTAGTTTGCCCTCTGTAAATGCATTAGACATGTTTACAACTTTAAAATTTCCGGTTTTTTTTTGAGCTGCTACTTGATTAGGGGAAAGAAGTGAAAGGCACTTAAGATGGTATAGCGATAAACATTCGCTATTCGAGTAGTTAAAATTTTGGTTCTTCAATGTTTTTCAAGGAAACTAAATTCTAGTTACATTTGCCAATAGGTTGTCTTGGTGATATAAGTTCACCACTCTGGCTCACCTTATGCGAATTTTAGTTTTTAATAATCTTTAGACAATCATAAAAGCGGCTTCGGAAGTCAATCAGTTGGAGGTACATATGTACTACCACCCTACATGGACCGGGTTTCATTCCTGGTATGAGTACCATCTAACACAAAAAATATTCTAAAGCGGTCGCTCCTCGGCAGACAATAGAAAAACTCCGAGCATACTACAACCTCAAAAAGCGGCTCATTAAAACCATCAGCCATAATGAGTTGGCGTAAAATAGAAAGTTTCACCACTCATGCGTCTCATTAAGATTCACATCTTGAAATCGGCAAAAAGCTCATCCAAACACTTAACAAAAATTCGAACACTCAATACTTTTTCTTTTTATTTAGAATTAGAAGATAACAGTGAATTTGATAGGTCTTGAAACAGTTCAGAAAGGTTCTAAAAAAAATCGAATGGTCCAGAAAAGTTCAGAAAAGAAAACCAGAAATGACTCGAAAAAATCCCGTAGAAGTACCAAAAAACGCGAAAAACTCCGAGAAACTATGAAAAGTACGGGAAAGAAAAAAAAATCCCTATAGGTACCGAAAAATAAACTCGAGGAATGTCCAAAAATCTCGAAAGGTTCAGAAAATTCCTATACAAAACTCTAAAGATGCCAAAAAAGAAAACTCGAAAAACATGAAAGAAAGCGAAAATTCGCCTACGCGCATAATCCTGAAAAATCCCGAAAAAAGCCAATATCAAAAAAAAAAATAATAATAATTAAAAAAGCACAAAATTTTGAATAATCCCGAAAAAAACTGCAAAAATTTTTGAAAACTCCTGAAACTTTTATTTTATGAACCATATCTAAATTACGTTCGAAGTCCTGTTTCCATAAAATCCTGAGCAAATACAGGTCGTCATTATAGCTAAAGGTAGACCACTTCTTTAGGAATTTTTAGCACATATTCTAATTTTTAACAATAGAGGGAATTTATACAAAAAAATTGGAAAGTGATTTCTATGTAAAAGTCAGCGAATCCTATTTGCTCAAAGAATCCTCATTTATTCAAAGACAATGCGATTATAGTTTTTATACCCGAGCGCACTTATGCACAAGGGTATATTAATTTTGTTC